AGAGCGTGCCTGTCGCTAGCGTGAAACCACCTTGAGCATCCCCCCAGCCTGGCTTTACTGCTATGTCACTCTTGCCTCCTTTCACATCAGCATCTGGTAGAAGAGGAGTGGAAGGAGCTTGGGGAAGGTGATATAAAGCTGCATAACAGCAGGAGACAGAGCCAGAAAGCAGTTATGGAAAAGAAGAGTAAGCAGCCTTAAATGGATTCACAAAACCAGATAATAACATGTTTTCCACTTGAGTGGAGAGGGTACTGCAGATTCATTTATAATTTGCCTCCTGTATTTAAAGGAAGAAACCTAAGCAAAACAGTGGAAAATTAAACTGTTTCATCTATTCAGCATTTTCTGTCCTGTTCTTGCTGGTGGTAATTGCTCCTACCAGCAGGCAAGCCCTGCCTCCAGCTTGGGAAGCATCTCTGAACGTGCCTGTATAGCCAGGGGACAGCTAAGGCCCAAGGTGCACAGTAAGGATACCACTTATGAAGAGGGACCAGGCTGTTCTCCCTGGCCAGAACCTGGGCAAGAGTGTGATATTTTCTTGCATACAGGCTTTGAGGGTGCTCCTGAAGTGCCAACTAGACCGTGTCAGGGACAATGCTAACACTTAAAACAACATGCGCTAGTTAGTACTCACACCCATGTGCGAGTCCTGTCTAATCCACTTTTATGTATTTCAGCAATCTATTATCTGGGACATGTATTTTTAAAGGCAATTAAAAAATGCTACAAACTACATTCATACCTCCCACCCCAAGATCACGACAAAGAGAGCAGCATCCTCTGTTTTCTTTCTAATCAGAATCTTTGCCACCCACACTTACAAGTTTTTCTGTCAGTGAGAAGTTGTAAAAGAGTTGTATTGGGTCTGAGAGGGAGTACACGTATTTTTCTGAAGAAAAAACCCTAAAGGTATAGGTAATCACACAAATCCCAGTAGCCAAGGTTTGAAGAAAAATTGTCACCTTTTTGAGACAGGTGAGAAATTAATGACAGGTCAGAAATGTATTCTTCAGAGGCTAAAAAAAAAATCAGGTTAATAAATGAACTCAGCATATGGTATCTTAGGCTACTAGAGAGTTTGTGTGGTGCTTTACTTGGAGTTGTAATTAATATTTTATCTGCATGGAGAAGAGAGCTATAAAAATCAGCTGTTTTCTTCATTCTTTGAGAGTTTATTTATAATATTCCTAACTTCTGGGTACTTGTTAAAGCCCAGTCACTACAGTCACAGAAGCTATGAAGTTAATCAATAAGCTGAAACCAAAGTCTCTGTGAAAGAGCATGTTGCATCTCTCCTCCAAAATACCACACTATACTAGCCTAAAAATGCCTTGACAGATAGCAGAGCCTCAGACATCAAAAGTTGGTTACAGGGCACCTGAAAACAAGAAGATAAAGTACATAAACTACATAAAGCACAGCTTGTTAAGGTTTGTAATAAAAAGGACTAACCTGTTAATGAGAGAGTAGACAAAAAGGACTGTAAAAAAATATTTTAAAAAATATCTACATCTTATCCCTCCACTGTGTTTTCATCTTAAAGTCTTCAATTGTGAGCACATATTATGTTGTACTTAGTATTTATACCACATTACCACAAGACCATTTTTCTTTGCAGAAATAAGAACATGTTAAATTTCATGCCTGACATGTTCGTTTATGCTAAGAGAAAAGTAAATGCCCAGGGCCGAGATTACATCCTCCTTGAAGCAACAAACCAAAGCTCTAACTTAAACTGGTAAGTTAATTGACTGCTTGAACATCCTTTTCAACCTTGAGATGAACCCGATAACTCACCCAAAAAATCTGAAAAGCTGAATTATTTTGTCCTGGTGCACTTTGAAGAAAATGGTATGTGTGCTCTAAGTCACTCTAGTGATGGAAATTCATACCCTCTGGTACCCCAGACTGTTAGCTGAGTTTGCATGCTAAAAAACTTCAAGCTACATTTATCAGTGTGCTATAAATAAAAATTATGTTTTCATTGCTAACACTACAGTTGTTTTTATTTTAAAGAAACAAGATCTTATGGCACTAAAAAAAGTGGCAAACACACAGTTTTAATACTCCATTCTGCTAACTTGTATCCATATAGTTATTAAAAAAAGACACACACAAAAAAAAGACAAAGCTCTATTTTTGCTTAAATGCTCATAGAGCACAACAGCTCAGAGTACCTGTTCAGAGGCAATTACAACTTACAAGCATTTTCTCTCTGAAAATTAAAGCCAAAATTTTTTTGTTATTATAATTCAGTTTGGTCTCCAGACATATCAGAAGTTGAAATAAAACCACATACATTTTTATGTGATACTTCATTTGTCATTCTTATTGAGTCTTTTTTTTTTTTCAAATATCAAACAATACATCTTTTCTAAATCAAAGAATCTTCTGGTCTTATAAGGAAACTTTTTTGGAAAAAAAAAAATCAAAACATATAAAAGATTTCCAGTCAACTCCAGAAAAGAGTTTTAAGTCTCACTATTCTGGGATCCCTTCTTTGGGTACGATTCAGTAACACTTTTTTCTATACTGGTATTAAAAAATCAGCATATATCAGTTTAATTCACTACAATGATACGTGAAACTTTGTAACAGCCTGAATTTTAAATTTAGTCTATGCAGTTTCACATGGAGAAAATTCAACGACTGAATGGCAAGGATATAACTTTTACTTATAAACTTCTCTGGTTTAGTCAACAAGGATCTTCTCTGAGGATATATATCACCTTCATCTCTATTGTACAGAATGAAAACACTAGTCTTTAATCAAAAAAATACAAGTGACAGAGGCCCAGACTGCAGACTTGGCCCGACTGGTTCACCAAGAAGTCAAAACTGAGTTTTCTGTGGCTTAGATCTGTCTGGCAAGCACCAGCTCAGCTGTATGCTACCGTTTACGATAAAAGGCAACAGCGGACCCCACAGGAGTCAGCCTCACACGTGGAAACACACAAGTTCACAGAAGTCATCATCTTTCTGACTGCGGGGGTTTTTCTTCTGCTTGTTTTCAGTCCCAGTGGTGCAGCTACATATGTTCCACTGCCCAAGCTGCGCCCCAGTCACAACCTGGTGATGCCTCAACACTCAGAGATATTTACTGAACAGCTCTTACCACCAACACTGTCTTCCACGTAAGTCTTACGGCCAACCTCTTTCCCAGTACACCCTTTCCCACTACGGAAAAGCTTTCCAGCTCATCAGCATGTCTGCAAGTTTCAGATCAAAAACAACGGGGTGCAACGAGGTCAAGAAGAAACAAAGCAGTTGGCCATTAGTAAGCACTCAGCAACTCCCGAAGCTACATACACTGAGGACTCATGCACCTGCTATAGAAGGGCAAAAAACATTTGTAGAGGTAGGCAGGCAGGCATATAGCTACAGACAAGGTACAAGCAAATTTAGATAGGACACCGTGGAAACAGCAGTGCCACTGAACTGCCAACCCTACACGCTTTTTTTAAAAAAAAAAAGTCAGGGTTATATAAATAATTAGATTGCATTCAAAAGTAAACAAAAACAAAAGCACAGGATACTTGACAAAAAATATGACATATTGACAGTGTTGTAACAAACACAACTGGGTAAATACTTTTTGCAAGACTGAGTTCAGTTATGCAGATATCAAGGCAGGAATTAATGTCAATCTCAGGCATGCTGACACAAAGTTAAGTAACCATCTTTCACCTATCACCTTCCATCCAAGAGTCAAGTTTTCCTGCAAAATTATTACACCTTCAGCACTGAAAAGAAATACAGGGAGGAGGGGGAAAAAAAAAATCAAACATGCTGGTTTTGACTAAGGCTCTAGTCCTGTTCCCTCTCAATTTAGCAGCATGCTCAAGGAACAGGATCCAATGTCATTGTATTAATGATACTTGAGTGTTTTGTATTTGATACCATTAATGAGTTCCTTTCTACACACATTAAAACACATTAAAAATAAATGAATGCTTGATGTGCCCAATCAAAATCACTAGGGGAAACACTGAGTAGACCACAGAAATCCAGGTTAAACTGGCAGTAGGTTTGCAGCAGGGGAAACACTAGACTTCACTTTCCTGCTTTTGTTTTAAAAAGTAAACTGTCATGTCCTGTTGATGAAAGCAGAATAAAGCACATTCAAGCAGAGAGCATGAGGCTTCTGAATTATGCCAATCTGAATGCCTTGCCACTGAGCAAGATGTAGCTAAAGATACCAGGCGCTGGAATACTTGCATTCAATTCAAATAAAGTTTAAAAAAGACGTAACTTCACAAAGCGGTTGGTGAACTTGAGTATCGTTAGAGTTGGTACAAACTTCCTCTGAAATTCAGATAGCAATTTACACCTAATTCTTCCTCATACTTTGGATAGGAGGGAATGGAACCCATGAGCTAATCAGTTTACTGCTGTTTTGCTCATTATGAAGGCATAATTTGCAGAGAAATAAGGTAGCCATGTTCTGAAATTTTTAAAATAAACATAGACGGGACTCATTGGATGATTTATAATTCAAGAATACGCCCTATAATCCCATCCCAGAGGTGCACAAGCACAATTCATGTTCTGTTTTAAGACTACTACGGGTGCACATACGCAGTTTAATTCCCCTGCTCCCTGTCAGGCTGAGAACCTGAGTTGCTCTAAGGGACACAAAAGATCTTCTGATTTCCTTTTTCAAGGAATTAAAATTTAATTTTACACCAATTTGTTCTGCTCAGACATTATTATCTTTTTTAGATTAATATAAAAGTAAAGTTCCCCGCATCTTCTTTTGTATGGCAATGCCATCTCAATAAGCATCTGTACCTGCTCCTTTTGACCTGAGCTGTCCATCACTGGACTTGCTCTTCATCTGCTGCATGGCCTTTGTCTCCCAGGCTCTCACAGGCAGCTCTGCTGCCTGCAGTCAAGGGCATTGCACAGGGTTGTAACGGAGGCAGAAAGCCTTTGAGCTGACAATGCTACCTGAGAAAAGGAAACATGCTTTAAGTTACTTATCCTCTGCATTTACAAAAGCACTTGTAGAAGGGGTAGCGACCACTCTCTGCACATGTCCCTGATCTTTCTAACAGCTATTTCCCATATCTGTTCCACTTGAATGATTTCTTTCTGTATTTGAGGGATCAAAACAAAACACAAAATTTTATCTTACAAGTGTTTTATGCAGTGACATAAATATTATTCCACTTTATGGCACACACAGCTTACAGTATATCCTGGAATCTCTTTTTATGATGCTTCTCTCTCTGATAGTCAACATACCAATCCTTTTGCTCCACTAATGTGCCCAACTGACAAGCCCCTAGTGTAGGGCAGAAATTTGTTACATGTTCCCATAGCATGTCTATCCTCTCTGTACTATTACATTTATTTCTACCAGTCCACAAAATCCTGTCTGATATTACACTCTGCTTCCGTATTGAAGACATGCTTGTATCTTGTGTCATCAGTAAATTTTACTCACATTCCTACTTTTTCTGCCACTGTTATTAACTATGATATTAAATAGTAATATCCAGATCAGTTCTTAAAGATTCTCACTAATCATCTCTTCAGACTCAAATTTTCTCCTGCAGCATGTCCTATTGATGCTTTCTTGTGAGCCACTTCACTGTTTCCTTTACAATACCTATAATGAATTCTCTCCTCTCTGTTCCATGTAGCAACACGGAAAATGATCCAGACAAATCCACCATCCATTCCCATGTGAAGATAAGTAATAATTCTTTACAGAGTGATCAGTTTAGTTATCCTCATAATCAATCTTTGGTAAAGCTGCTTTGCATTTTACTTACTTTCCGTGTTCCTCTCTCATGTCTTTCCCATAGAACTTACCCTGAAGCATTTCAGTCCACTGAGGTACAAGGTGAACAGATTTATCACTGCTTTTCATGTTGCTTAAGTATTAGCAGCATGTTCACTGTTCTTCTGTCACAGGCAGAACTGACCCTGTAGTGGTCCAAACCCAATTTTAGCTGGCCAGTCAGTGAAGGAACAGGAAGGATTAAGTGACTGAAATATCTGAAGACAGAAAGTGTTAGAAGGAAGGAAAACAAACCCTGTGTTGACAGTTCAGATGGACAACATAGATGTTTATTCAAATCCACATACTTACCTGCAAGGCAGGTACAGCTATCACAGCTTCATGCTGCGTGAGATTCAACCAGCACAATCCTTATGAGATTACTCCAAAATTCTCTCTGGGATTCTGTGCTCATTCTCGTCTATGTAAGCAAAACTTTGGGAAGGGAATTTCTACCTTTGCCTTAGAGGTCACAATCAAAGCAGTGTTTGAATTGCATCTTGTCTCTGAACCACAGCTTGGCTTCACAGGATCATTTCTAACATAAAGAGGATGATATAAAGGTAAGTTACTGGGCCATCATATCTACAATTCTCCCCTTAATCTTACACTTTGCTGCTTATCCTCTGATGCTTTCCCTTTTGTTCCCCCCTTGGCTGTCTCTGCAGGTAGTTTAAACTTTTACAGAATATTTGCCTCGTTCTCTCCTCCCCTTCTTTTCATCTTCCCCTTTCTTCCCCCTGCACATATATCTTACAGAGAAGCTCTCCAATTTTAAATTACAATAAAACTCAAAACAGGGCATCAGTAACCACATAATCCCATGTAACCCCAGAAGGCCTGATTCTGAGTAACCATTGAGGTCTCACTGCTCTTATTCATCCCAATGGAAGGTCTAGGTCCAATCCCCTCACAGTATCAGGCCAAAAGACTCACCTGCCTCTACCTTATAAACTATTTAATGGGTGTCTGATGACACCCACTGTATCTCAGAACTATCCCACCTCCCCTCACGTGGGGTGGCTTCTGCTTCCCTTTTATTGACAACCATACTATAAATCCTTTGGAGTTACTCTGTTCTCCTTTGCTTCTTCCCTAACAGTCCTCACAAGCTCTCTCCTGGTAAAAGAGACGGGATATAATGATTTCTCTTGGTGCCTAGCTCACTATAGTCCCTCTGTGGGTACCCTGGACTTGGCTTCTTGCAGAACACCTACACAGTAGCAGTCTCCAGTCTCGATTTGTCCTTTCCCCGAGGTCCCAAAGCGTTTGCCTGCAGCATGGGGAGGAGACATGTCCGACATGCCGCAAATGTAACCATGCTGCATTATGCACAGGTCTGTGACGGCTCACCCGAAATAAACAGCTCTAAAACATCTCTGCCTACATCTGCCACACCATACTAGGATCTGAATAAATCAGGTACCTGACAGAAAAATTTTAGGAAGTTCCTAAAAACTATTCCAGTCTACTTGCTGTATTTCTACACGCAGAGAGAAACTTCGCTGATGAGTCCTGTTGTTCCAAGCACTAAAGATAAGATGCATATCAGATGACTAATGTTGCTTCTCCATATGAAAAGAAGCCCTTATTTTAATGGCCATAATCATAAAGACATGCCCTGGAGCACAACTTTGAGATGCATACTATATTCTCTTGGAAAGCTTCAACAACATTAGAATATACTTATTTTTAGCATGCAGCATACTGCAATATTATATATACCATTAATATATATTAACGATAACATAAAACATATGTATAAGTTATAAAGACAGTATAATATGTAATTATATACATTTATTACCTTAAATGCTTTTTTTATCCATACGGGGTTGGCCAAACTAGGAGGAAATAACACTCCGTAACAGGTTATATTGTTTTAAAGCTTGGGTCACTGAAATTGCTTAGGACGTTTGAGTCACCAAAAGTTATTCAGTAGCAACAAATAGTTGGCAGTATTGCCAGAATTTAGGTGGTTTAAGTTACAAAAAAAATACATGTTCATTATACCCAGCACTTGAATATACTATGAAAATTCAGTCAAAGGCCTAATGCACCTGTAGTAAATTTTATCAGATCAAAAAGTCTAATGTGGAGCATCTATTAAAAATAACTCAAATACATTAATTTTATTTACAGTAGCTGGACAAAAAAAAATATTTAAAAAATCTAATTATTCCTTTCTCCCTTAGCTACTCAGGGAGTAGCTGTCTCCCAGGGGTACAGCAGGGCATTTTACCACAAAGAGCATGGTACTTAATTAAAAATAAATTTTAAAAAATTATCTTTATTTCCACTTAGCTGTAGGGTAAGTGGGAGGGCAAAGCAAATCTGTACCAGGCTCAAAACAAGATTCTTGCTTCCAAGAGATAAGGCAGTGAACTGTATTACCCTAACACTATAGGAGACAAGATTAAGAAAAATAAATTTACAATCCAGAGACACTTAGCAAACTGAAATATAACTTGACAAAATTAAAAATAAAATGCATTTGGAGTTGTGCTGTTATAATGTGAAATGGATTATACCAGCTGGGTCTACATCATCTTGCATTTTTAAACAAAAATTGGCACAAGAATTAGTAACGAGTTTTGCTGAATATATTCCAATTAAAACAGCAAAGTCTCTTAGCAAAAAAAACAACCCTAAAAAGCAGTTTCATGTGGGAGAAGGAAACAAGAGGAACGCAGAAGAACATGTGCAACAAGTAGGGTATATAGCAAGTAGGAGGAGATGAGAACTGCCATATAATTTCTTTTAAACAAACTCTTAATTCTACAAAATGCATTATCCTACTGAACTGCATACCAGTAATTTATGTCCCTGTTTGTTTTTCCTTTCAGCTGAGTCCCCAGCTCCTAGAATAAAGCTGTCATTTCAGCCAGCAGGTGCTTTCATTCCCGCCTCCAACCTACAACAGTTATGACAAGAGATTAAGAAAAACAACTACCCTGGGCAGCCCAGGCCGGTGCGTAATGAACGGCTTAACCCTGGATAAATCTAATGACAAGTGTGGGTGGCTTTGATTGAAATGACAAGGCAGTTTGTCACCCGTTACTCTGTCACAGAGATCAGCAGTGCTAATGTTTTCTGCTGAGTTGAGGGGAAAGCAGCCTGAAACTTGTGCATTTCAGAGGCTATACACAAAAAACACTGAGAACAAAAGGGGTCAGCCTCAGTGTTGAAACACCCCTCTGGCCCTAAACAAGTCAGCAGTGGAAAAGAAGTAGTTTCTAAGAGCTCTTGCAAGAAAACACCACTGTCTCTGGAGATGGACAGAAAATCTAAAACAAAAACCAAAACAAAACCACAATCATATGGAGCTCTCTTGCTTTAAACTACCTACACAGAGGCTTTTGACAGAGGTACTCAGCTATAACTCCCAGCAGCAACCTGCTTTGCTGTAGGGGTTGTGTTTTGCTCATTGATGAGTGTTCAGTGCCCATAAAATGGTAACAGCAAGACTCAATTGCTATCATAAATTATTAAATAGTCTTGAGGGCCCCAGCCATCAATCATCACAGTTTTGGATGATACTGCTTGTGGTGTTAGAGGTGTGCCTGCTTAAATACAGCAATTGTCCCCAGAAGACTGCATGTACCTCAGTCCTGCGAAGTCTTGTGTTTCTGTTTAATCTTGGCTTCAATTAGTGCATTAATTTCTGGTCTATATTAGGTGCTACACAATCAGAATCCAAATAAACAAGTTACAAGGGCTGGTAAGGGGCACAGACACAGAAAGAGAAGCAGCCATTTGAAGTTCATGTGGCAGATGACTGACAGTCCTGGATCCAAAACCACCGCAAATGGGAAAGGTATATGACACTTACCAGTGAGAGGCACTGCTGGTGTCTTGTATGAGGGGAATATCAGAACTTCAGACCCTGTGACATCATTGAACTTACTTGGTGTATGAATTTGAAGACCATGGCCTTACCATGTTTTCATATTCTACACCCACACAAAGCCTTCCTGAAAGCCCCTCTGATTCTTGCCATTAACTTAGCCTGGCAAGTCGAATGGGGAAGACGTTCAAAACATTTTCAGCCTCTGTGCCTGGAGAAAATTTACAGTGGCTCCTCTGCCTCCCACTCTCCCCACTCCTTTTCAACACCTTGGAAAACCCCTGCTGTTTTAAATTTACAGATTCCAGTTACAGATGCCAACAGTTTGAGGTAGTCAGATGTTCATCATCCTCCTGCTTTACAAAGGCCAGTAGCAGCCTTGCTGAAGGTTTGCTACCCAGCACTACTCCTAGGACATCTGGGTTTATGCAGACACATTACCCAGTCTCACAGCAATCCCCTGGGTACTCAAGACCTTATTACTGCTCTTCATATGTATTTTGCTTGAAACAAAAATAAAATGCAGTTCTCTATTGAAATGTTGCCAGAAATAAGAAATAAATCAAAAAGGTGGATTGATACACTTTCCTTCCACTGAAGCCGTTAATTTAATACAGCAGTTGCAGTACTGCTGTTTCAAGAGAAAAACAGACTCAAAGCAAAGAGATTTCCCTTCTGGCTGTAACACAACAATCTGTCATTTTTCTACAGAAGAACTCATTCATGGCAGGTGTTTTTGTGGTTATTTTCATCTTGACCCCCTTCTAATGTCAGCTGTTGATGTCCAGCTCTTTCAAGGAAAAGCCAACTTTGTCATCTGCATCCAACAGACAGTTGCTTAAGAGAAATCCTGCTGCCTTACTCTTGTAAGCAGGACAAGAGCACATCTTTAGCATTCCCAGTAACACGGATAGGATCAAAGAAAGGTATATTTTTAAAAAACAGTCTCAAATCTTGTATCTGATATCAGGTAAGACTTCCCCTTCCCAATGCCCTTTCTATCTTAACCTAAATGCTAACTGATGAATCTCATTCACTCCTTATCTCCATGTTTCTTTACGCTTGTCCTTTTGGATGTTTTTGTATAGTAACCTTTCAGCATCACCAGCATCCTGTTATGAAGCACTGAATGGGTTTTAACCATGTTCTGTGTCACACTGCTATGTCTAGGCCTTTGTATGCTGGAAGTGCTACTTATTTTCTGTCAGTCAGATTTTGCTTTGGTTGATGATTTTTTTTTTTTAAATTTGGTGGTTGTAAAGATATGTAGAGTATCTTACAGCTTATCTGCCACATGTTTCATTACTGCATTTATCTTCCAGTCCTTTTCATTCTTGCTGCAACTGCTTGTGTGGAGATAGCTTTCTTATCTTAACATGGGTTTCTATTTATATTGCTGTTTTCGTTCACAAATAGCAACACGAAACAACTTCCCCTTGCTTTGGATGAAAACTCATAATCAAGGGTCCTGAAACATACTTTTGCATAAACAGTTTCTTGCCCTCTCTCGTCTGGTCTTCCATTCTGTTAGTCCATCATGAATCCAGACATGGAAGCATAGTACAGCTAATGGATAGAGCAATTGGCAGTTTTATTGCTGGCTGTGCCAGAGACTTTCTAAAAGTCAAATAACCATTCTGTGCTTTGATTTACCCCATTAGAATAGAAAATACAGGAACATACTCCTTCAGAAGAGTAGTATAAGGACCTATTAATGCTTATGAAGCACTTCAAATTTCTAAGAAATCGTTAGATTAATGAAAGTAATGTGATTAGTAGCAAGTGCCAATTCATTAAAAGATTTAAAAAGGCTACATGGGGGGAGGCAAAGGTATTCATGAGATGATAATTGCTCAACCCTGCTAGGAACACAGTTTATTCTGCAGTGTAGATGGTGTCAAGCTACATTCCCAAATCATGTTACAGTCCAACCAAAACCAAAGGCTGTCACATAATTCAGGGACAAGGTGAAGAAACAATTCACAGCCCTGTCTACACTGCAAGACCAAAATGTGTTAGCTGCACTGTAATGATAACTATCAAAAAGCTGATTTTGCAGCATAGCTTGACTGATTTTGCACTGTGGTTTCTTTCTATCTGCTTTCACTAAAGAGTCCATCTACAAGGGAGGATTTGAGGAGATTTCCCATTCATATTCCAACAGATACTTGTGGAGGTGACAATAATGGTCAAAAGTCTGGCGTAGCCAACCTAGACTAATCTCATACACCAGACGCAACACTCACACCATTAGTTTCTGATACCTGATGCTGAGTATGAAGGTGACATCTCACACATTGAACAACACAGCATTGAGGCTTCTGTCCTTCCATGAGCCCACACAATCCACTCTCATCAGCAGTGATCCACTTGAAGGAGAAGGAAAGTGACTGTGCCAATGACCTATACCTTTGGGTAGGCAACGTGAATAGGCCTCTCTGATCAAAACACTCATAT